GCCTTTGAATTGTTGTGTAAGATTTTGTCCATTTGGGAATATTCTTAGTAGCTCAGATACTGGGCATGCATTTCATATCCAAATCTTATTAAGTTTATTTTTGAGTGTTTTTAAAGTCCATCCATTTTGTGAATCTGAAAACTTAGCCAGAAGTGGTGATAATGACAGGCCTGACCTCAGAATAAGTTGGAAATTACTTTTGTGGCAGACTGATAGTATCCCAGCATCTAGATACACATTGTCTTGCTGTATTCTGTGCTTTTCTTTGTTGTGTACCAACAAAAGAAAATGAAATCAAGAAGACCGGTATGTGTTCTGGAAAACTAAAAAGCATGATTTTCACTGCCAAATTAGTTTCCCGACTAAATTGAACGTCTGAAGAACAGTGGGTATGTCAAGCATTCATCTAATCTAAGATAGATCTATTTTGAATTTTAAATTTCCTCAGCATTTCCTATATGAACTGTTTACGTGGCAAGATGGGATCAGAATATGATCCTGGGTTGTAGCTGGGCTGCCACGTCCCTTAAACGAGAATGTGTGAGATGATAGGACACCAAGTCACGGCTGTGCCATTTGCCCAGGCAGAGTGAACTGCATGAAAAGAGGCACAGAGAGGATGGGGAGAGCTCAGTGGGACCAGGCTTCCATCAACATGAGGTAGCAGCCAGCTGTTGAGAAACAGTGCCAGTAGAGAGGCCATGTCTCTCAAGTAGGGGACCCCTCTCTTAGTGCTTCAGCTTACTAATGTGCCGAGTATATTCTGATTAATAATTTGAAGAATATTGTGGCACACATAGAGATGGGCTGCACATATTCCCCTTCAAGAAAGAATGTGTTGCCCAGCTACAAGGAGTGGCGTTAGCTGATGGCTTCCAGCTCTTCACACCTTCAGCTTTCGGAAATCCCTGGTCACACTCTTCTCATCATGGCCCCAAGCCAGTAACTGCCAGAGGCAGTAGTACAAGGACCTCATCATTTCTTGTCATGATGGACTCCTCTCATCTTTGCTGTGGAGCCTCCACTAGGCTGGCAGAGATTTGTGAGCTCCACCTTGTTGTCTGAGGCTCCCCTGTCCAGTCTTGCTGCTGGCTTTTCTCTTTCACAGGTGTTAGTCCTCAATAGGCCATTTGTACTCCTAAGTCCTCCATTGCACCATGTTTTCCAGAAAACTCAGCTTGCCATTATCATTAATTTTTTAAATCAAAGATACCAAATTAAGGTCTATAGTAAGTTTTTCTGTTAAGAGAAATTTTGAGTTAAAGAACCATAAAACTTAGATGCAGCTGGTGCATGCTGTCTTCATCTCTTGAGTCTGGTGTTCCCCAGGCCATCTCCTGATTGTGCTTATTTTTGGCTCTGGAGTTGCTCATTTGGTCTGGCAGCCTAAGTCCTGGGACCCTTGTCCTTATTCTCAGTTCCAGAGGCTTTGCATTTCTTGTTTTAACCTCTTTGCTTGTGGTTTTTTTCCTGTAGGTTGTAGCCCAGCTCTGTGGGTTCTTGATCCTATGTGCTCATGGGGATGATTGAGTTTAGATTCTGTTGGTAAAACAGTGCTCACCTGGGTTCTTACTAAGATACTCTGTAGAGAGCTGTTTTACTTATTCCCTTTTAATGTAACTTGACAAAACACAACAACCCAGTTTTTATATTTAGCTCCTTTTTTGTTGTTGTTCATCTAAAATTCATGTTAGTGCATATTGCAAGGGGAAGACTTATATTTTTTCCCCCCTGAAACAGCCATTTACTTCTGTTTTATTTTTTGAGATGGAGTTTCGCTCGTTACCTAGACTGGAGTGCAATGGCGCAATCTCCGCTCACCGCAACCTCCGCCCCCTGGGTTCAGGCAATTCTCCTGCCTCAGCCTCCTGAGTAGCTGGGATTACAGGCACACACCACCATGCCCAGCTAATTTTTTTTTTTGTACTTTTAGTAGAGACAGGGTTTCACCATGTTGACCAGGATGGTCTTGATCTCTTGACCTCGTGATCCACCCGCCTCGGCCTCCCAAAGTGCTGGGATTACAGGCATGAGCCACCGTGCCCGGCCAGCCATTTACTTCTATAAAATTTACAGATGGATCTGTCATGCCTGGCATTTGGTGTCTGGCTTACAAAAGTTGAGTGTTCTCAAGGCAAGAGATTAACATTGAGCTCACTTGATTTAATATTGACGTCATTTTGTTATGTGACATTCATTTCCCCACATTTGTAATGTGTTTAACTTTTTAGAACTAGTTGTGCATATAAATACTCTAAAATGATTCTAATCTTTACAATAAATAAGTATACAAACAGCTGACACATCAAATATTTCTCCTTGGATTCGAGCACGTTAGCCTTTAGCTTCTGCTTTACCTTAATTTTACCTTCTTAGCAGAGCTCCCTCAGCTCATGGATACCTCCAGAGCTTCATCTTGTCTTATTTCAAACTTTCTCAAAAGAGCTGTCATATACACACAGCTTCAGCTGCTACCCATGTCTGTTGCCATCCACATCCTACCCCTGTACTCCAGACCCATGTCTGTTGCCATCCACATCCTACCCCTGTACTCCAGACCCATGTCTGTTGCCATCCACACCCTACCCCTGTACTCCAGACCCATTTACACAGTTGCCTAGAAGCACATCTCTAGTAAGGTCGACCATTGACCCTCAAATGCCAGGATGTCGAGAGTCAAACTTGACATGCGTATTCTCCTTGCGTCTAAGATTCCATCTGGATTTCATCTCTTGGATAAAAGTGTTGCCATCTACTAAGCCACTGGGAGCCATGCTGGAGACCTCCATTTACCACAGCTCCTCTACCCATTTATCTTGACAATTTAATCTCTTGCATATTACTATTATATGTTCTCTTTACCTGGCAGATTTTGATCCAGGCCTTCTTATTTCTCCTTTGAAATGCTACCATTGTTTCTCTTCAGTGATTGTCTCTGACACCCCTCTCAGCTGCCTCCAGTTTACTTCTAGCTGTAACCAACTCAGAGACTACACTGCTCCCTTGAGAACATTAAGCCCCCAGCCTCGCTTGCCTCTCCAGGCCCATCTCCTCCCCTTCTCACCTTCTATGAGCCAAACTGACCCTTCTGCTGCTGTGGTTTCTGTAAGACACCAAGCTGTCTTTGCCTCCTAGCATTCCCCCATGGTCTTCCTTCTGTCCCTATTCACTAGGCAAATTTAATTCATCTTCTAAGTCTCAGCTCAAGTGTCCTCATTTCAAGGAAGCATTCCATGAAGCCCCTGCTTAGGTGAAGCACTTTCCTCCTGACTTCTGTAATATTTTATACAAACGTCTGTCAGGGTTTTAAAAATTTTTTAATTTTTTTTTTGCTAAATGATATTCTTTATCATCTTTTTTGCAAACTAATCATGAAATATTGGAAGGACTATATTTATTTATATCTATTTTATTTTTCAAGAGTGAAGCCTGTTGTCTGGTGTGTAGGTATTTTTCACTGAATGGGATTTGGAATGTGTGTGAGCATGTTTGAGTGTATGTCAGAATTACCATGTAGTAACACTAGATATGAGATACCTTTCAGAGTTATGGACTTGAAAGATAAGGTGACTTGAATAAACTTTCTCCAAAGAATACATACATACATTTGGCCAACAAGTTTATGAAAAAAAGTTTGATATCACTAATCATCAGGAAAATGCAAATTAAGATCACAGTGAGGTATCATCTCACACCTGGTAGAATTACTGTTATCAAAAAATGACAGGTAACAAGTGTTGGCAAGGATATAGAAAAAAGGAAATGCTGGTATACTGTTGGTGGGAGTGTAAATTAGTGCAGCCATTATGGAGAATGGTATGGAAATTCCTCAAGAAAACTAGAAATAAAATTACCACATGACCCACCAATCCCACTTCTGGCTTTATGTCTCAAGGAATTGAAATCAGTATGCAGAAGAGATATCTGCAATCCCATATTTATTGCAGTGTTAGTTGCAGTAGTCGAGATATGGAAACAACCCAAGTGTCCATCAGTAGATGAATGGATACAGAAAATGTGGTATGAATACACAGTGAAATACTCTTCAGCCTTATAAAAGGAAATGCTGTGATTTGTGACAATGTGGTTGAACCTGAAGGACATTATTGCCAAGTGAAATAAGCCAGGCACAGAAAGATACCGCATGGGGCTGGGCATGGTGGCTCACACCTGTAATCCGAGCACTTTGGGAGATCACCTGAGGTCAGGAGTTCAAAACCAGCCTAGCCAACATGGTGAAACCCCATCTTTACTAAAAATACAAAAATTAGCTGGCATGGTGGTGGGCACCTGTAATCTTAGCTACTTGGGAGACTCATGCAAGGAGAATCACTTGAACCTGGGAGGCAGAGGTTGCAGTGAGTTGAAATAACACCATTATGCTCCAGCCTGAGCAACTGAACAAGTTTGTCTCAAAGAAAAAAAAATGAAGGATACTGTGTGATCTCATATATATGGATTCTACCAAAAAAAAAAAAAAAACAAACTTGTAAAAGTTTGGGGATATTCTTAACTATAATTCCAAAACTTATTAATATTTTTCAGCTATTAATTTAATTTTCTCGTCTTACTGACTCGTTTACAGTCTCATCCTCTTTGTTTTCACTTTTCTTCTCAATCCTGTTCTTTATCCAGAGACTAATATTGATTATAATGAAAATGGGAAGGAGATGGTAAAAAAGAAGAAACCTGGGGAATCTGTCATTTGGGAAATTATTCTTTTAATATTTAAGAAAGGGCTATTATTTAATTAAGATAAAATTAACATTTTAGGTTTTTTCTTGTTTTCTTTTGGAGGGAATTAAACTTGGGACAATGATCTCTTAAAAACATTCAGGTAAGGAAGCTTGCCTGGGGCAAGTGAAAGAAACTGTCCATTAGAATACAGCATAAAGTGCAGTTTTCTTCTTCTAGAACTTATATATAGCAAGTAATATGGGCCTGTTATGAAAATGTGTAATTTCATTTTTTGTTTATTTTCTTTATATCTTTTTTAATAGAAAATACTGCAGTTTCTACCTGAACGAATTTTCTTTCGATGGCATTACCAGAGTATAGGTAAGAACAATTAAAATTTTTTAAGTAATATGAATTTCTTCCAGTTGAATTTTCAGTAATGTTTTATATAATTGATATCATCAAGATAGCTTATAGAAAGGAATATTAATAAGGGTATGGTATTATGGTAATGAAATCAAGACAAGTCCCACCCTGACTTTGGAGACAAATATGTCTATCTCTTCCTCTGTGTGCTCCTTAGAGTATAGTTTATAGACCAGCACCATAAGCCTCACCCAGAAGCCTGTTAGAGATGTAGAATCTCAGGTCCCAGCCAGACCTCCTGAATCACAGTAGTATTTTTAACTTGGGACCTGTGGGATTCTTGTGTACATGAAGTTTGAGTATTTTTCTTAAATAAGTTTAAGAAAATTCTTTTTTTTAAATTTTAAATGGAGTCTCACTCTGTTGCCCAGGCTGGAGTGCAGTGGTGTGATTTTGGCTCATTGCACCCTCTGCCTCCTGGGCTCAAGCAGTTCTTCTGCCTCAGCCTCCCAAGTAGCTGGGATTACAGGGGCACACCATGTTGCCTGGCTAATTTTTTTTGTATTTTTAGTAGAGACAGAGTTTCACCATGTGGGCCAGGCTGATCTCGAACTCCTGGCCTCAGGCAATCCACCTGCTTTGGCTTTCCAAAGTGCTAGGATTTCAGGTGTGAGCCACCATGCACGGCCAAGAGAATTCTTGTTCTTTAAGCCTGTATCACTGACTCAAAATTAATCTCTTTGAATGCTTTAGGATGTGGCATTGAGAGGAAACTTGAAATAAAGCAAGTTACCACAGCTGCCTTTTCTGTCCAGCTTTTAACATCTAACACCTCATCCCACTTGAATATACACAGCACAGCTGGAGTAATTCTGTGAAATGTATTTTGAATTCTGCCTTCTGTTTTAAAGAGTGCCCCCTTCAATCCCCTGCCATACAAGAGTCTAGCATTTCCTGCAGGTTTTCTTACCAGATGATCGTATTTGTGGAGAGCATGACCTTATGATGGGATATAACTCTGTTTGATCATTCATTCATTAAAATATTTATTGAGGGAGAGACATTCGTGTGCAAAGTTCTGGGACAGAAACTAAGAATATAGCACCATTCTTGTATAGGCCTTTTGCCCAGTCGGGATAGATGAGAGAAATAATTACAGCAAAATTGTCTCTATGCAAAAAAAGAAAAGTTGAATAATTCTTTTCAGAGGAATTGAGGAAGGCTTCAAGAGAGGTAACTTTGATCTGAGCCTTGAAAGATGAACAGGTGCAGTGTGGAAAGGGTTTTCTGGGTGAGAGAACAATATGTACAAAGTTGTGGAACCCGAGAGAACGCAATGATCAGTGAATATTCCAAAATTCCAAATCCTAAATTTAGGATTATTTATGTGAAAAATGGAATTGACTCTTATAGAAATTGAATTATTTGAAGTTTTATGTTATAAATTTAAAGAAAGCAAAGTGTATATATTAAATACGTCAATTGAACCAAATGTGTAGATCATTACTTTAAGATAGTGCCTTTATCTTTAAATGTTGCAAATAGACAAAGACAGTTTTCCTTTAAATTTTAGAGAGTTGTCTATTGCATTTCTGCTTAATTGAGCCTTTGAGCTTGTGTTTTTAAATTACAGAAAAAATAAAAATTTAAATGTAAGGTATAATCTAAAGAGACACCATGGGGATTTGCGGTGCTCCACGGTACCGTAGGAATGGCTGACAATGAGAAATAACTGCATGCAGTATTTTTCATCTGAGCTACATATAATCCTTCCTCAATTTTGTTTATATCATTTGTATGAAAACTATACTCATTTTCTTAGATAGCACTTTAGAATTCTGAAGATTAGTAGGCCCTTCTCAGCATGAATAAACTTATTAGAACTATGTGTGAAAATTAATTTGCATTTGTGTTGTAGAACTTTACGTGTCTAGTAGGTAGTATGTAGTATTATTTTAATTCTGCCTAACACCACATAAACTGGCTAAAATTGCTGGTACCCAGTTTGGCAGCATCTTAGCAAGAACAGTGACTGGAGGCCTCAGATGCCTCAATTGAGATTGCCAAATACTGAGTTGCATAAGCCATCAAATAGCAGAATGTGTTATTTATCTGGTGTGAGAACAAGCTGTTGCTATAAAGTGGTCAGAATGAATCACATTTCATAATGCTGAAATATGAGCATTTGCATATAAAATTATCCATGTTTATTACTGGTGCTTATATATATACTTAGTGTTAGAGTCAAACAGGTTCTTTTCAGACAAATATATTTTTGCATGATTAATCATATTGGGTAGTCCACAGTCTCTTCTACAATGATCTTTACTAGATGTGCTTTGGAATTAGGCATTTTCAGACTTTAGAATGGCAATGTGGTATGTTGATGTGTAATGAAGCAAATAATTTTGAACATCAACACAATCTTAGCATAACTCTTCCAGGGTCTGGGCCGCCACCCACCTCAACTAAGGAAGTTATTATTTCTGTAGCTTAAGATGAGAATATCCACACACAAAATAGCCTTATTCAGGTGTTGCCAGCATATGAATTCAGATCAAGTCCTGTACACTAACGACTTACACAGAAAAACTTCAGTTTTCATAATAGTCTTTTGGATTTTGAAGTGGTCCATAAGAGATGATGGATTTGTAATTATATGCATATATACCTTACTGTACCTATTTAATTATTTCCAGTTTATTTGGATTTCTTAAAACTGTTACTGTTTATCACTCCAGGTCTTGACCAAGTTAGCTGTAGAAACTAAGAAACTATAGGGAAATACCAGGTATCAAAGGAAAGGAATGTGCTTTAAATATGTGCTCAGCATTGGCATCCTGACTTTTGCAAAACCTCTGAGTCTTGGGCAGGGGCCTTCTCACCAGCTAATGCCTGACATTCTAGGTAGCAAATATTCCTTACCTACTAGGAAGAACACTCCTGTGCCAATGTCTTACTAATGAAATGTTATTGCAGCTGGTCGGGGACGGAGTACTCTGAAATGCTGGGTTAGAACCTTGAAGTTCCGGTTATACGTCACTAACGCAGTATGCTTCTTGTCCCACACAGCAAATGACAATGTCACTGAGCAGAGAAACCTAAAATAAGGGCAATTGCTATATTCTGTGAGTCTCAAAACTACATTTTATCCTGAGAAGGAAGAAAATAATTTGAAACATCAACCACCACAATGCTTGAAGTCTGTTTCTTACCATGTCATTTTGTTTTGTCTGTAGAAAACAGAGACATTCTGTTTCTCTTAAAACTACGTTTAGAGGGAAGGGATAGTCTGTGGTTTCTCTTTGTTTTAGTTTTTAATGGCTGGCTTCTTGCTTTAAATCGTTGAATGAGGAAACATATTTGAACTCTAAGTTTCACAATGTGAAATGAACACAGGTTCATTATTCCAAGCATCTGGAGATATTTCTTCAAGTGATGTTCGGAGAGCAAGATGACCAGGGCAGTGGCTGGCACAATACTCGTGAGCTCTGCATTGTGTGCTAATTTTCATCTCAACTATTTGTAAATTTCCATTACCATTACTGACTATAAAAGAAAACATCGTTTATCAATTTTTTTCTGAAGTTATTTTTTTTAGGCCAGTAAATCATGGTGGATAAAGATGACTGCTTGACATCTTATCTCTGGGCAATAATTAGAACTGATAGAGAGTGAAGCAGTGGCAAAGAATGGCACTGGCAGCAAACCAGGGATATTTGGTATAAAGTCAGGCTGCAGCACCCCTTCATGTGCCCATGCATCATCAACACAGGACTTAAGTTATATGTGTGTTCACTTTAAGAAGGCATACTGCTCAGGAGCCTCTAGAAAGCAAGTTTGCTATCTCACTGAGAATGCAGTGCTATGCCTAAACTCATAATTGTCAGGTTGGCAAAAGGATATATTTTGTATAAGAGTTGTTTTATATAAAAAATGTTGAAAACGAATAATCCCCTAGGTTTAAAGGAGTGGGACTCAGTTATTGGAAAATGCACACGTGTGTAATACCTCATATGTTTTTTATCAGTCATTAATCTATTTTGTTCATCTAGGTTTTTTATATACATAGTGTGAAAACCAAGGGCATAACTAAGCTGAAAATTTGTTTTTGACTTTTTAAGTGTATTCCTGGCTTTGTGCCTGGGACTAACCAGTGGCCCCACATTGCCCAGGATGTGAACACAGCCTCTGACCAGTCTCATTTCTCAAGTTCCCTACTGCCCACCAGATCCTAACCTTTCCTTGGGAGCTTGAGTCTGGCAGCTTTCCCTGGTCCCCTCAGTCAGACCATACCATAGCTCACTCTTCCTGACAGAGCAGGGTTTCCCTGTGCACTTCACACTAGGACACCCTCAGAAGTGTATCACAACTGGACTGGGTGAAATCAGGGACCCCACATGCATCCATGTTCACCAGGGGATGTCTGGAACTAATGCCCCTGGCAGCATGGGGGCCGAGTCACTTGGTGTCGTTCCATGCCTTCTCAGGGTGCTTTCACCATCGCTGCTCTGTGTCTCTTTTCCTCCCAGGCACTTCTGTGTTTTGCCCTCTGGTTGTCTTCTTCTTGTGTTAAACAATAGCCCTGAAGCCTCAATCTCTTTCTTTTTTCTCCTTGACCACCTGAAACCTGACTTTTGTCTGAAGCTCCTCTGTTTCCCTCAGGAATAGGGGTGAGATCATGGTCTTTCTTTTCACCCTTGCCAATTCCAGACATCAGCCACAATCCCCTCTGTGAAAACCTCTGTCCCTTTTACATGCCACCTTCTACCTCTTGGTCACTGCCATGTCTTCTGACCCCCCTGCTCACTTGCCTTCCCTCCACCCCCATGGCTTTGTTTTCTCCTAGTCCTTTTCCTTCATGCCAAGTTAACCATCAGCCCCCACGCCCAGTCCTCTGTGCTCTGTGGCTTCAGACCCTGATCTCTGTCTGACCATGCCTCCATTCTCCTGATCTTTGACCCAATCACTTCCAGGTTGCCTGATATTTTTTTCTTATATTAAAAAGTATCTCT